GACCACATGCCTCTAGAAATAAAAATCAAAGGAAAAGAGCAAGAGTACGAAAAACAAGAGAGAAGACACGAAAGAAAAGAATTAGAAAAAAGAATATGGGATGAAGAGGGAATTCAAAGGTACAGAAGTAGACTAGAAAAAAAGAAATTCGAAGTAAAAGAAGATATAGATGGTGGAACTGAGCAACCTAATTGTAGAAGCTACGGAAAAAAGAAAGATATACATATGGCAAGGGAGGGACAATGGATGGAACGGAGAATGTAGTGAGTTGAAGAGAAAAGCAAGAGAAAAATTAAGAAAATGGAAGAATAACAAGGGAAGGAAAGAAGAGTACCTAAAAGCAAGAGAGAATTATAGGAGAAAATGGGAAGAAAGAAAAAGAGAAAAACGAGAAGAAGAAGAGAAGACAATAAAGTCCCTGAAAACAGAAGAGCAAGTATGGAGATATATAAACAAGGAACGGAGAAGGAAGACTGAAATCAGCGGGAAAATCAAAATACATGAATGGAAAACACACTTTATGGAATTATTGGGAGGTTGTGAGAAAAGGAATTGGAAGTAAATGTGGAAAAAACAAAAATGGTGGTGTTTGGGAAGAAAGTAAGAAAGGAGAAGGAAGAGTGGGCATGGAGAAGGAAGAAGATTGAACAGGTGAAAGAATTCCAGTACTTAGGATATACATTAAAGAGCAATAACTCAGATAGAGCGCATATTCAAGAAATGGTCCAAAAAGCGAACAAAGTGGTAGGAATAGTATGGGGAATAGGAGAGAGAAAATTTGGACATGATTATAAGAGAAGAATAATGATGTTTGATAGTTTGGTCAAAAGTGTATTCATGTACGGAGCTGAGATTTGGGGATGGAGGGAATATGAAGAAATAGAGAGAGTGCAAGAAAAATACTTGAAATAGACATTGGGATTGGAAAAGTATACGCCGGGGTATATAGTGAGAGAAGAAACAAAAAGGGAGAAAATGAGAGTGGAAGCGGGTAAAAAGGCGGTTGGATTTGAAGAGAAGTTCAGTGAGAGAGGTGATTGCAAGATATTGCAAGAATGTTGGAAAGAAATAAGAAAGGAAGGAGGAAAACATGTTTGGAACGAAAGGGACAAGTATTATGAAGGAAAGGGATATGCATGTGAAGAAATAGAGAGAATGAGAGGAATGGGAAGGAGTATGAAAGGAGAACTGAGTGTAAGAGATAAGGATATAGATAAGCAAGAACGTAGATCGAGAATATCGGAGTCTAGATATAATGCAGACTATAGAAAAATAGTAAAGGATGAAGTACCAAAGTACACAGAGAAAGAGAGAGTATAAAGGAGAAAAGAATGATGGCGAGATTTAGGTGTGGAAATGAAGAGAAAGAGAATAATTTCTGGATGGATGAAACTGACAGGTGTAGGATATGTTGGAGAGAGGGAGAAACAATAGAGCATATGCTGGAAGGATGTGAAGGATTGAGAGAATCGGAGGAAAGTAGGGAAGAAGTGCTAAATGAGGATGGAAGAAGACTGGACTGGATGAAAGAAGTATGGAAGATAAGGGAACTATGGCAAGGAGTGAACAAGCAGAAAGAATAGAAAATTTATTATATAACACTCGAATTTTTATTTTATTTTATTTATTTTATGTTACTGATTTATCTGAGGTAAATTAAGTTAATTTGTACCCCTACTGGGAGTATTATTAAGCCTGTAAGGCAAATAATAAATTAATACTACATAAAATATAAAATCACCACAATTTTCAACCAAGTCCAAAACCATATTTCCTCAGTACTTCCGGTATTTTTGCATGTGGACCACTCTTCAACTATAGTTTTCTCACTAATACTAAAAGAACAGTCATCGTCTGTGTATAAATCAACGTTATTCGCTCGAACCCAGTTTTCAATATTTTGAACACTTTCCTTAATGCTTTCCATATTCGGACCCCTACAGCCAAAATGAAACTCTTGGACACTACAGTTCACTGACTACAAAACTGCTTCAATAAGTTCCGCAGGGGATTTTTTCCAACATGTATACTACTGAACCGGTGATGATCAAAAACACCTTCCGGCAAACTGACGAGCTTGTTGCCGTAGAGATTTAAGTCAAAATTTTCAGCAGCCATGCCATTAAATGCGTGTTTGTCTATGTAGGTCAAAATGTTGCACTTAATATCCAGGACAGAATAAACACTGCGAAAAAAATATAGAGAGTTGTTGTGGAGGGCTTTAGTACGATTAGATTCTAAAATTAAGCTTCCAAAATGTGGCAGATTCACAAAAGCTTTTGAGTTTAAAATGTGCAGGTTGTTAAAAGATAAATCTAAATCCATTAAGTTAGAAAGATTGAGAAAGGCTTCATCTTCGATGACTTCAATTAAATTATTTTCTAAATGTATATTTTCTACTTTCAAGTTTCTAAATGTGCCCGTTTTGATTTGTGTTAACTTATTCTTGATGATTGTGATTTGAGAAGTGATGTTTTCCATTTTTTCAGAAAAACATTCTTCTTGTATTTGCTCTATCCCACAATTATCAAAAACTATAAACGTCATAGCATATTTCAGATTAAAAATTTTGCAACACAATGTGGGAATATGTTCGTCCTTAATGGTGACTCCTGAAATTTCAGGCGATGTAAACGTGATTTCTTTCGCATTGTTATATTTATTGTTATGAAATTGACCCGCGATTTTAGTCTCATAATTAAACCAAAAGTCGCAACTTATACTTAGTTGTAAAAAACAAAGAAATAAAACTGCTACCGTCTTTAGATACATGGTATCAAATGAACGAATCCGAATGTTATTTTCAGTTCTGAGTTTCGAAATGATAAGTAATATATTTATTACGCCACATCTACTTAACAGAACAAAAGTTTTATTACCAGAGACTATAAGCAACAATACAAGTATTACAATAAAATCCAAGTTGGATTCCATTTAGTGAAGTAAAAAACCTCTTAACAGAAAAATAATGAATACGCAAGAACCTCAAACAAACATTCCACAGCTATTGTTTTTTTTTGAAAATCAAAACCAAATTTTGAAACGAAAAATAAAATCTGACTAACTCCAACGTCACGATCTCCATAGATTATACCATACAGTATAAAATCACCAAAATTTCCAAGTAAGCCGAATACCATATATCCTTGACACTTCCGGTACTTTTGCAAATGGACCATGGCTGAATTATCGGCTTCGCACTCTCCTTGAAAGAGCAGTAATCGTCTGTGTGTAATTTAACGTTATTCTGCTCAACCCAGTCACCAATATTCTGAACACTTTCCCCAACGCTTTCCATATTCAACCCCGCACAGTTAAAGAAAAAGTGTTGGACTGTACAATTCTGACTACAAAAATGCTTCGATTGATTCCTCAGCGGATTTCGTCCAACATCTATCCCACTGAAGCTGTGCTGATCAAAAATCCCTTCCGGCAAACTGACGAGCTTATTTTCGTAAAGATTCAACTCAAAATTTTCGACAACCAAGCCATCAAGAGCATTTTTGTCTATGTATGTCAATTCGTTGCATTTCATATCCAATTGAGAATAATTTTTGCGAAAAAAATATAAAGCATTTCTTTGCAGAGTTCTAATGCGATTAGATTGTAACGTTAAGATTCCGAACTGTGGCAGATTCATAAAAGCTCTCGAATTTAAAGCGTGCAGGTTGTTAAACGACAAATTTAAAATCGTTAACGCAGTAAGATTGAGGAAGGATTCGTCTTCGATCACTTCGATTAGATTATTTTCTAAATTTATAGCTTCTAGTTTCAAGTTTCGAAATGTGCCCGCTTTGATTGAGGTTAACTTATTATTAGTGATTGCAATTTGATTCGTGAGATGTTCTATTTTTTGAGAAAAACATTCTTCTTCTATCTGCTGTATCAAGCAAGTGTCGAAAATGACGTACCTCACATCTGATTTCAGATTAAAAATGTTGCAACACAATCTGGGAATATTTTCGTTCTCGATGCTGACTCCATAAATGTTAGGCAAAGTAACAGTTATTTCTTTGACGGCGTAATGTTTCTTTAATACAGATGAACCACCAAATTTAGTCGAGTAGTCAAACTGAAAGTCGCAAGCTATACACGGTTTTAAAAAACAGAGAAATGCAACTGCCACAGTATTTTGATACATGTTATCCGTTGAATGAAGTAAAGTCACTTTTAAGCCAGGTCTGACCATTACAACTCCATTAAAAGTTCCAAAAACTTAATGTCAATCGACTTATCAGAAAAAGAAAGTGCTAAAAAACAGAAAACTAAAATCGTCACTCCATTAAAAGTTTCTAATTGAAAAAAAAATTGTTTGGCAACTACTTAAAAGTAATTAAAACAATATCTTCATTTTATAATTAAAGATTTAGGGGCACCATCTGTCTGCAAAACAGTCGAATTTAATTTTCGTCGTAGCTACTAGCAGCGCCATCCTACAAAACGATTAAATTACTCACGCAACGAATTATAAAATACATCACTGGAATTTTTATCCCGCAATAATCCACCATTTAAGTAAAATTAATACACAGTGCTTGCTCACGAAAATGATATTTATATTGGTCTATTTATCTACCTCTCTTATCTTAAGATAAACAATGCGTTAAAATTAATTTTAGAAATATCCAGCACGAATTGAGCCACCTACACACACATAATTTGAAACCACTAACCTTACACTAAACTGTTTGACTAACTATTACGAAGAAACTGACTCATTCTATTTTTTTATTATTTTAATAGTCATTCCAAGCGCACGTTTTCCTAATAGGGAAAAAGAACCAAAATGTGATTAATTTACACGTGTATTTTTCATTACCTTGACAATGTATTTAGCAAAGCCGAAAAAGTCCACTTTATCTCCTCGGGTTCAAAACGAATAAATGCATTTTAGGACAAAATCTCTAATTACATACAATTAAACTTTATGGTGGCGTATAAAAAAGTATATGAAAATATTTACACTCGGAGGAACATATAATTCACACAATGGACCTAGGAATAGTGTGCGAAGTGAGCTAGGCGATTAAAGACATAAAATAAAAAGGCACAAAACGAGTTGTTTTATAGCCGGTTTAGTTAAGTAGTGATACGTACTAGTAAAAGTAAGTAAGCACACTAAAGCTGGCTATTTTTTCTCAGAAATTATTAGCTTTACATCTACAACACTATAATACTTTTTTTCTCATACACATATTTTTCTGAATCCAATGATTATTATCACAAAAATTACTTGATTTTATTAAATTTATTAAATTCACTAAACAGTCAAAAATACGTTGTATAATTATTTTAAAGCCTATTATTATCTTCCAAATCCAATGTCAAACCTTGCGTATTTTAAATTTTGCTATGTAACGCAAAACTGAATGACTGCTACACTACGACGTAAAGAGCTTAACTCTATTTATTAGAGGATTATAAATTGATTACTTCTAATTATATCGAACAAAGCGTCTTATCTTTATAGATGCCGCCAAAGCGTACACTCCTCTTCACAAACAATTCCCCAAATAAATCTTCCAGTTTCCTGTTTTATGCCAATTTAAACCCAAAGTCTTTCCTATACAACTAAAGATCACACATCAGATAACAGCCCCAATAAAACAAACATTGACAAAGCAGACTTTTTACACCTTCCAAACACAGCCACCAAATATTTGTAGGAAAAAACCCATTGGGTTGTAAAATTTTCACAGCAACATGTCGGATCAGACACAGGAAGAAATCGTGGACAAGAACCGCGGAAAATGGAGCAACAGCATCGAGTTCCTCATGTCCTGTATCGCCATGAACGTGGGTTTGGGGAACATCTGGAGATTCCCCTTCGTGGCGTACGAGAACGGAGGCGGCGCCTTCCTGATCCCGTACCTCGCGGTCTTGATCCTCCTGGGACGTCCCATGTACTACCTAGAAATGTGCCTGGGGCAGTTTAGCAGTCGGGGCAACGTGAAGATGTTCGAGTCCATGGCGCAAGTCCTCAAAGGTCTGCCAAAAACCCTCTATGCGAAAATTTTTGACAACGTTGTTGTAGGTGTCGGGTTCGGGCAGCTGATTGGGACTTTCTCGGTAGCGACCTACTACTGCTCTTTAATGGCTTTGACTCTATACTACTTGATCCATTCCTTCAATTTCGAGCTCCCGTGGTCCCAGTGCGATAAGCGATGGGAAGAAACCAAGTGGCTACAGAATGTCACTTGTATACCGTCGAAGAGCACCGACATGGGGCAGGTTAATAACTCGATCAGTTCGGCAGAGGCATGGTTTAGAATCGAGGTACTAAGGGAGAAAACGGACATTTCTGACGGGATAGGGATACCCAACTGGGAATTGACGCTATGTTTGCTGTGTTCGTGGACCATCACCTTTTGTATTTGCGCAAAAGGGGTGCAAAGCTCCGGAAAAGCGTCGTACTTTCTGGCTATTTTCCCGTTCGTTATCTTGTTTGCTTTACTAATACGAGCGGCCACCCTCGAGGGTGCAGGCGTGGGCATTTTGTACTTTATAACGCCGGACTGGGAAAAGCTACTCAGCGCTAAGGTAAAACTAAAGTCTGTTTACTTCTTTCTTAGTATTTATTTACAGGTTTGGTATTCCGCAGTCACTCAGTGCTTTTTTTCTTTGAATATTGGCTTCGGCTCTGTGACTATGTATGCCTCCTATAACACGTTCCACCACAATGTCTTCAGGTGAGTACCCGGAACGACGTTCTCGATAAAAACATTTCGCCAAAAACAAAAAAACTATTTTAGGGACGCCATGGTCGTGACAACCCTAGACACCTTCACCTCGTGTCTCTCGGGTCTAATCATCTTCGGCATTTTGGGCAACCTAGCCCACAAGATGAACGTGGAGGTCCCAGATGTGGTCAAATCCGGCGGCACAGGTTTAGCGTTTATTTCGTACCCCGAAGCCATAGCCCGATTCGAGGACGTCCCATGGGTAAGCCTCCACTTTCCACACACTCAAATCTCATCGACACGTTTCAGCTCTTCGCTATTTTGTTCTTCTTCATGTTGTTCGTGCTAGGAGTCGGCAGTCTGATAGCCCTCAAAGGTTGCGCCTTCACGGTCATTCTGGATGCCTTTCCACACTTGAAAACATGGCACGTGTCTTTTTGTACCGCCGTGGTGGGGTTTCTGGTGGGGCTAGTGTACATTACACCCGTAAGTTCGTTTTTGTTGTCGAAGGAAGTTTCCGCGATTTAGATTGGGTTAATTTGTTTACGGGTTTTGGTAATGCGTTGCGTGGAATATGACACGGAAAGAAGTAATTATTGACGATAATTGAGGAGATGGGTGCTGGGGTGTAATTATTTTGAGGAGACGGAGATTAGGTCAAGGTGTCGTTAGAAAATGTAATGCAATGAAGATACCTGTGTATGTTTATTTACGGAATATTTTAGATCGTATCGCTTTATAAATTAATGTAAATTTATTTATTCGTTTTTAATTTATTATTATAAAATGTGGTTAACTTTGAATTTTAACGTAATAATATAAAGTAAATGAAACAACGCACACAACTGCCAAGAAGATGTGTCGTCAAAATTTTTGACACTAGCACATCTTTACATAGACATCATCGTTCACAAAGATTTCGCCACCTTTTTCGAAAGTTATATTGTCTTCAATAAAAGCATGATCCAACGTTATTTTTAACTTCCTAGATGGGGAAATTATTAGCTGAGGTTTGTGTTAGTTCCGAGGCTTCGACAAGAGCTGGTAAAACCCCGAATTTCTCAACACATTATGAAAACCCATGCAATTTAACCCGTTATAGCAAAATGTAGAATTTAATTCACAGTTACATAAACATAACAACCACAACCTTGAAAATCCACAAACAAATTAAAACCATCAATGTTGTTTACAGGGTGGTCAATTCATCTTCACCATGGTCGACTTCTTCGGCGGTACTTTCATCTTCTACGTGCTAACGATCATCGAAATCTTAGCCGTGATGTGGTGGTACGGGTTGAAGAACATCTGCCTCGACATCGAGTTCATGTCGAAGAGAAAACCAGGACCGTACTGGCGCATCTGCTGGGCCGTCATAATCCCCGCGGTACTCATCACCGTCTTCGTGTACTTCGTCGTAACTCTCGAGGAACTAACATACGAAGACCAGTCGTACCCGTTCCACGTGATAAGTACGACTTAAGTCTAAATTTAAGCTGTATCTACACCCTCGTTTTTCAGTATGGGGTTGGTTATTGTTCGGCGTGGGCATCCTCCAACCCATCCTCTGGTGGTCGATCGAAATCATCAAAAACCTTAGAAAAGAGCCGCTTTCCAAGGTACGACTTTTCCTTGAAACCGTACGCCATGTAATTAACTAATTGAGTATTTACATTTTCCCACACGACAATCGGACATCAACCGTAATTGAGTAAATAACAGACATTTCGTCTTCATTGTCCGTATTGACGAAAGTTGGTAACCGGTTCTCGATGGAATTCCACCGGTAAAACCAATAATAAAAATGCGTTAGTTCTTTCTGGATTTGGCTGGTTGCACAACTTCGAATCCAGTTTGTTTTGATTTAGTGTTGGAAGACAATACCTGACGCTAATCTTTAGTAGAAGCGTCAGACACATCTAATTCACAATTTATGCCCCTTTGAGATGACTCATCTCACACATTCATGCAGCAAGAGCCGACTTTGGTCTAAAATGCATAAGCTCTAGTGCAGACTTGGTAAATAAATGATTGTTTAACATGGTAATTTATGTTCGGCACATCCGTCGGGTTAATCGGATGCAGAAATCTTGGTCTTTCCACCTGTGGTCGTGATGCCTGCCAGGTAATTCCCTTAGCGAGAAATTATTTGTGGGAGAGTGCCACCAATCGCCCATTTCGCACTTTTTTAAAGTTAACGCTGTTAGTTTTATGGGTTGTTATTTGATCATAAATGCAAAGTTTAAGCAAATTCCTATTTCCAGGTAATAAACACAACAATTTCGACGAAAAACCCCAATTAATGTATAAACAACTGTGCGTGAGTCACGTTTCGGTCGAGGAAAATTTACAAAGAGAACACAAAAATCGAAATCCGGAGTAGAACCGAAAATCGTACTTACGTCACGATTTTTTAAACTGAGCCAATCTGAATCGAGCATTTCGTAGCGCGGGAAAACCGTCAAATTCAAGCTTCAAACGAAATGTATTGTTGTTTTTAACACTTTATCTGTGCCTCTTTAAGCTCAGTATTGTGAAACGACGCAAATATTTTAATCCTGTCGTTGTTTTTACGACTTCTAGAAAAACAAATAGCGTCAAAAGTGTCTCACTGGTTCATCAAAACGTGTTTATTTAATCTTTTAAGTTCCTGTTTTCTCCCAGATTTGCTTGTTGCAAAATATTTTTATCAAAAAATTAAGTTTAATGTCCCAATCAAAATTCCTACCAATTGTACACCCATGAAACCCGGCCTGCTGCAACTTTCGCAAGACGTACAAAAATTTTAAATGCTTCCAGGTAGTTCGTTCTTTTTCTTTTGCCTTTCTGTTCCTCTCTCTTTGGAAGACCCTGGCACAAATACGACTTATCAGTTTGAAATAACGCTCTCATTCCGTCTAATCCTGCATGATTTTCCCTGTTATGAGTGTTGAAATGCAGACGTATTGTTTACATGAATGTATTTTTTTAATGTGTTTAGGAAAAAATAAACAGCGTCACGTTTCATTGCTTAAACAAATCCATAAAACGATATCTTTTTTATCTTTAAATTCCTGTTTTCTCTCGAGTCGGACATGTTTTTCGTTTGTAAAATATTTTGTTTTTTAACGCTGATTTTTGAGTTAGTTAGTAATCGATTGGAATAATATTGGGTCAGAGAATAAAAATAGCAGTTGAATAGTAAAATTCGTTACAATAACGGGATAATATTAACCGTGCGAAGTGCATCTGTTGGTCGCAGTTCCATTAGGGCTTATTTATTATTGACAGCAATCGTAATCCGGGAAAAAGCAATATAAAGGTAGTAAATGAAAGCGGATTGATCGATGCTCATGCACACTAGGAGATTTGGAACCGCGAGACATTAATAATGAAAAATAATGATCACGTCAACATTTTCATTTACCTATGTACTGGATCAATATACAAAATTCAGTTACAGTTCACAAGAATTAAATAAACACAAACATACAACTGCCACGAAAATTCGTGGCCAAAATTTTTAGCACCATCACAAAATTGCGTAGGTCGTAACATGAAAGTCAGATTGTAGTGAGAACACCCACCTCCAATCAAATTCACTCCTTTTGCCTTTGCCCAATCAAGAACAAATTCGACGTCTTCTAAAGCTAGATAAGCGCAAGTGAACTCAAAATCTTGCATTGCACATTCTTGTCCACAAAAATTTCTTGAAATTTTCTTCAGAGGGTTAAAGCTTACATCGAATAATCTTACACTGTGGTTGTTAAAAATATCTTCTTCTAATGTTTCAATTCTATTCCCGTTGAGGTTCAAGTCGAGAGTAACGCGTGAGGATAAATTATCGAACGCGCTTCTTTCAATTTGAAAAATTTCGTTACACATCAAATAAATTTGAGCACTTTCTGTCGCGAGAAAACTAAAAACTCCTGCTTGTAAAGTTGTAATACGGTTTTCGAATAGGTGCAGACGTTCTAAGCGCGGTACCAACGTAAAAGCTTTGGAATTTATGGCTTTCAAAAGATTGTTGTTTAAATTTATCGAACGCAAATTGTCCAAATGAAGAAAAGCTTCGTCTTCTAACTCTTCAATTGAGTTATCATTTAAATTGATTTCTGTCACGACTAAGTCTCTAAATGTGTGTTTCTTTATTATAGTGATTTTATTTCCGGTAATTGCGATAAAAAAACTAACGTTTTGTAGAGAGTCGGAAAAACAGTTTTCTTCCAATTTTCTAATAAAACAACTGTTGAACGTAATTCCATCTAAAGGATTTCTGCAAGCTAAAATTTTGCAACACAATTCTGGAATGTCATTGTCCTCAACGAAAACAGATTGATTCTCATGACATTCACTGATTTCTTCTACGTTATAAAAATTTTGTACAACTCTCAGTTGTTCGAATATTTTGTAGTCGAAAGAATATGGGCCGCAAGCCAACACTTGTTTGTATAAAGCAACGATAATAACTAATACTTGTAGTGACGGCATTTTACAAAGGTGGGAAGAGACTAAGTTATGGAAACGACTTCCCCAAATATATTTTTCGAACGCAAAATGATCTCAAAAAAAAAATTAAAATGAATTTTCCCATTAAAACTTTAAGAACCTTAATAGCTAAAAGTAAGTTTTGAAATATCTAAAGACAATTTTTTTATAAAGAGGACTACTGTTTTAACTGTCTTTTTTAACAGCATATTATCGAAACCATTAGGGTTTATTTATTATTCACAGTATTCCAGAGAAAGCTATACAAAGTTTTAACTGAAATCGGAATATCGATACTGATGTGAACCAGCAGACATTTTTACAATGAAGGTCAGGTATTTGTAAAGAATTAAAAAAAAACTTATACAACTTTTTACTTCCCGAACGTAAGCGAAGGAAGTATTCTAATATCATCTAGATGGTAAAACGCTAACCAAAATCTAATCATCCCCCACGAGTGACCTGATGACGTCACTTCAAAATTGTACATTGTAAATGGGTTTTAAATTGTATAAAATGACAAAGTCGAATATTATTGCTTTCATCTATGTGCTCTGAGCATTTTTTTTATTCGCATCGATTTTTGAAGTTTTTAAGATATTTTTATTTTTTGGTTTTTCAATTGTTGACTTTTTCGTTATCCGATTTTTTAATTTCGCTATTTTTTCAACATTTCGATTTTTTAATTTTAGTTTTTCGATGTTCATTTTGACATTTTTGGATTTTTATTTTAAATTTTTTGTGTTTTTCGATTTTTTAGTACCCAGATATTTTAATTTTTTGATTCTTCAACTTTGGAATTTTACAATTTGTCGATTTTTCTATTTCTAGAAAATTTTGTTTCCCTGTTCGGTTGTTCAATGTACCTTTTTCGATTTTTCAGTTTTTAATTTTTTGATTTTTCAATTTTTTAGTTTTACAATTTTTCGAAGTTTTTTTGATTTTTAACATTTCACTTTTAATAAGTTTGTCCGTTTGTTGAAAAATTAAAAAAGGAAAAATTGAGAAAATGAAAAACCAAAGATAAAGTTCTTCCAAGTATGTGATTCCAAGTTTTTTTTATTTTCTCAATTCGAGATTTTTAAATTTTTGGTTTTTTTAATCGTTAATTTTTCGATTTTTCGAATTTTTAGTTTTTCGATTTTCATTATGATTTTTATTTTTCAGTAAAATTTTTGTATTTTTCGATTTTTTAAGGTGTGGATATTTTAATTTTTCGATTTTCTATCTGTTGAATTTTACAATTTTTTCGTTTTTTCGATTTTCCAATTCCTCGACTTTTAATTTATCACTTTTTCGAGTTTCAATATTACAAATTTTCGGTTTTACAATTTCTATCTTTTTCTCAGTTGTTCCATTTTTTAATTGCTTTTTTCGTTACCCAATTTTCAGTTTGCCAGTTTTTTCGATTTCTCGATATTTCAGGTTTGGTTTTTCAATTTTTGATTTTCAATTTTTCCATTTTCATTTTTTTTTTTTTCGAATTTTCAATTTTGTAATTGTTTCATTTTTAAATTGGCCGATTATTAGGGTTTTTATTATTCAATTGTAAATTCTTCGCTTTTCCATTATCCGAGTTTTCAGTTTCTATATTTTTTCAATTCTTCGATTTCCCAACTTTGAAATTTTTCGGTTTCAGTGTTTCGTTTTTCCGATGTTACAATTTTTTAATTTTTTCATGTTTCGTTTTTACAATTTCTTAATTTATTAGTTTTCCGGTTTTCATTTTAAAATTTTTGGATTTTGAAATTAATTTTTGTTTATATCGTTGACTATTTAATTTATAGAAGTTTTTGTTTTTCGTTTTTTCAAATTTTCACTTTCTCGATTTTTAATTAATCGGTGTTTTCAGGTTTCAATATTACAATTTTTCGATTTTTCAATTTTTCGATATTTTGAGTTTCCTTTTAAAATCTTTGGATTTTGAAAATACAAATCTTTGTATATTTGATTATTTAATTTATAGAAATTTTTGTTTTTCGTTTTTTCAACTTTTCAATTTCTCGATTTTTAATTAATCAGGGTTTTCAGATTTCTATATTACAGTTTTTCGATTTTTCAACTGTTTTTTTTCCGTTATCCACTTGTTTAATTTCTCATTTTTTTCTTTTTCGATTTTTCAATTTTAAAATTTTCGATATGTCAAGTTTCA